TAAATGCTCTCAGGTTATCTAGCAGCAAAGGGGGCCCCCAGGGGGGCCCCCCTCAGGGGCCCCATGGACGGGAACAGCGGCTTTGTGGGGGGGCCCCCAAGGGCCCCCAACGGGGCCAGAAGGGAGCAGCTGAACCCTTGGGGGCCTCTGCTTCTTTAGATGTGCTGGAAGCTGCTGCTGCTGTTGCTGCTGCTGTGGAGCATCGGCGAGGAGGCCCCGAGTTGCTGCATGCATTTGTACCCTTCTTATGGGTGTTAGGAGGTGAGGGTTTCTTTGATTAGGGTCTAGGGTTTAGGGTTTAGGGTTTAAGGTTTGGTTCAGGCTCTGGGATGTTTGTGGTTTAGGGTTTAGGGTTTAGGGTTTAGTGGGGCTCAATAGGGGATTTGCTGCTGCTGCCTGTGGTGTGGGGCCCCACAGAAGCCGTGCTGCAGCACGTTGGAGAGGTGGGGGGCCCCTATAAGCCCTGTTCTGTTGGGGGGCCCCCCGATGGGGGCCCCTCAAGTGCTGAAGAAGAGGGGCCCCCTGGGGAGGCCCCGGGGGCCCCCCAGGCCATCTTAAAGCGGCAGCAGCGGCTGCGGAGTGCTGTCTGTAACTGTCTCTTGGAGACAGTTGAAGAGCTGCTGCAAGGGCCCCCCGAGCAGCAGCAGCAGCAGCAGCAGCAGCAGTGTCTGTACCTGGGCTTAGCAGCAGAAGCTGTCTCTCTTCACCTTATTAATGCTCTCTCGCCGCTTGTAAGCTCCACACAGCTGCCCATAACACGAGGGTTTAGGGTTTAGGGTTTAGGTTTTAGGGTTTAGGGTTTGGAGTTTGAGGTTGTTGTTCAGGGCTCTGCTGCTGCTGTTGCTGCTCTTGCTGCCTTACCGAGGCGAGAAAGCTTGTGGGTCCCCCTGCAGCAGCTATTTGATTTAGTTGAAGCCCCCCCTGTGGTGCTGCAGCAGCAAGGGCCCCTGCAGCAGCAGCTGCAGCGCCTGCTGCTGCTGCTGCTACTTGCTGCTACTCCAAACTCCCCGCTGCTGCAGCAGCAAGAGGGAAGGAAGGCCCTCGCGCAGTTGTGGGGCCGCTGCAGAGGCCTCCAGCTCCTCTTCTTCCGTGTAAACCCTAAACCCTCGCAAACCCTAAACCCTAAACCCCTGCAAACCCTAAACCCTATTCCTTTGCAAACCCTAATCCAGTAAACCTTGCAAACCCTAAACCCTAAGCCATTGCAAAGCCAAACCCTTGAAGACGCCAAACCCCTTATAGCGGGCTGGCGAGATAGCGACTGAGGCAACTTGCTCCTGCTTTAGGGTTTAGGGTTTAGGGTTTAGGGTTTGTGGGCGTTGCAGCACTTGGTGTCTCTAATTGAAGACCGAAGCCTCACTGCAGGGGACCTGCAGCAAATGGGGTGTCTCTTCCTCCAAGCCTTCAAGGTAAGAAAAGCAGCATTCACAGCAGCAGCAGCAGCAGCAGCAGCAGCAACGGAGGCAAGCATGGCTACTGCCCCCCTTGGGTTTTGTATCTATTAACGCCACTGCTGCTGCTGCTGCTGTTGCTGCTAGTATTGGAGTAGCTTGCAGCAGCTTGGCTTCATGCAGCAGTTGCAGAGGTATTGCTACAGCTGCTGTTGCTGCTGCTGATGCTGCTGCTGATGCTGCTGCTCAGGTGTCTCTCGAGCATGGCTGCGAGTCCCTCGCCCCACAGCTGCAGCAGCTGCTGCGCGCGTCTCTCTTCTCCCCGCTGCAGTTGGCGCAGCGGTGTCGTTGCTGCCTGCTGCCGCTGCTCTCTCAGCAAACCTTTTCTGCAGCAGCAAGCAGCAGCAGCAGGGCTGCTGCTGCTGCTCTTACGGGCGCCACACTGGAACCAGCTTCGACAGCAGCAGCACCAGCAGCAACAGCAGCAGCAGCAAGAGAGTCTGCTCCTCCCCTAAGCGTCTGGGCCCTCGCTGCTCCTTTCCTCTGGAGGTCTCTAAAGGTAAGCCCAGCAGCAGCAGTAGCAGCAGCAGCAGTAGCAGCAGCAGCAGCAGCAGCTGTGGAGCTAGCGGCACAGGGCACCGGTAGGTGAGCCGCTAGCCCATCCCCCCAACAAAAATATGCTTCTCCCCCGCGTCTAGCTAGCTAGCTAAGCATGATCTAGGAAGGTGGCTAGCTAGCTAGGTAGGTGGCTAGCTAGCTAGGCAGGTGGCTAGCTAACTAGATAGCTAGCTAGCTAGCTATCTAGTGGGGTTGTGGGTGTTGTGCTGCAGTGCGGGAATTGGGAGGTTCGGCTTAACGCAGTTTGTCTGTGGCAGCTGCTGTGCTGTCCCCTTCCTCTTAATTTGCTGCTGAGTTCAAGGTGCTTCTTTTACTGCTTTTTCTTTGTTTGTTTGATTGTCTCCGTCCTGTCTAATTACTCCTTTTGTTGCAGTTCAGTCAGGGCCCTTTCACCAACTGTCTCCTTCTCCGTCTGCTGTCTCTTCTTGTTTGCTGTCTCCTCTCTTTGTTTGCTGCTTTGCTGTCTCCTGTGGCCCTGTCTCCTACTGCCTCCTGCTGCTGCTGTTGCTGCTGCTGCTGTTCTTGTGTGTCTCTATGTTTGTAGCCTTGTTTGTTTGTCTGAATTCTTAAGTGTCTCCTTTTATATTTAAACTTGCAGCAAACTGTCTCCTTCTTTATTTACTCTTTCTTCGCTTTGTATGCCCCCCAGCACCACTGCATGCGCTGGCGGGCCCTGGGGGCCCCTAAGGGGCCTCAACAAACCCCAATATGCTGCTGCTGCTGCTGTTGTTGTTGCTGCTGCTGCTGTAGAGAGGTGCTGGAACAGATCCTGGAGGACCCGTCCCCCACCGTGCGTCACGCAGGTGTCTCCTTTCTGCTGCAGCTGCTGCGTCGTTGCTGCAGCAACCCTAGCAGCAGCAGCAGCAGCAGCAGCAAAGACGTGATGGTGCCGCCAGTATCCCTCACTGGGTTGCTGCAGCTGCTGCTGGGGGCAGCAGCAGATCGGCAGTCCCCAGCTGTCCGCTGTCTCCTTTTAACGGAAGTTGCTGCTCTGCTGCAGCAGAGCCATTCACAAACCCACCCAGCTGCTCTGGCACTTGTAGGCTCCAAATGCTGCTGTTGTTGTTGTTGCTGCTGCTGCTGCTGCTGGTACTGCTGCAGTACACGTTGCTGCTGCTTCTGCATCTGTGCTAGAGGAGTTTCAGTCTCATTCTTTGGGGGGTGAAGGGCTTGTTTCTTGCTGCTGGAGCAGCAGCAGCACAAACTGCTGTGGCTGATTGCTACTTGCGTTTGCTGCTGCAGAGACAGCTCGTGCGGCAGCTGCTGCTGCTGGCCCAGGACAGCAGCAGCAGCGTACGCTTTGCTGCTGCGCTGCTGCTGGATGCTGCGCCTTCGGCAGCACCTCCACTTCTGCCCTCCCTCCTACCGGAGCAGCAGCAGCAGCAGACACAGCAGCAGCAGCAGACGCAGCAGCAGCAGAAGCAGCAGCAGCAGCAGCAGCAGCAGCAGCAGCAGCTTTTGGCCCGCTGTGTGTGGGACGGGATAACGGGTCTCTTGAAGAGGGGACAGCAGCAGCGCCTGCTGCAGCTGTCGCGCTATAAACGTTGGCAGCAACTGAGCAGCAGACGGCCTCCTGCTGCAGTTGCTGCTGCTCCTGCTGCTGCTGCTGCCACCTTAGGAAGGCAGCAGCAAGCTCAAGAACGAGGGCGGGGGCCCCGTCTAAGGGGGGCCCCCGGGGTCTCCATTCAGAAGGCCGCCGGACGAACGGGAGGGGGGGGCCCCCATGAGCTGCAGCAGCCTCAGCAGCAGGAGTTGTTGCTTGCGAGTCTCCTTTCTGCAGCAGCAGCAGCAGCAGGGCCCCTTGAGGTCTCTCAGAGGCTCGCACACCGCATATGGGTAGAACTGTTTGCGTTGCCGCTGCAGCAACAGGTAGGGACAGGGGGCCCCCTAAAGCCCTCTTGCATGTTTGTAGGGGGCCCCCCGTCTGCTCTTTTGCTGCAGACTGGGGGCCCCCAGCAGCTAGAAGACCCTCAGGAACAGAAGGAGGCTTGCGTGCAGCTGCTTAGGCTGTGTTGCAGATAGTACTTAGCTAGCTAGCTGCTAGCCATCTAGCTGCCCAGCTAGCTACCTAAGTAGCTGCCTACATAGCTGGCAGCTAGCTATCTGCCCGTTGGGTATCTATCTATCTAGCTAGCTATCTATCTATCTATCTATCTGTATATCTATCTGTCTATCTACCTATCTATCTATCCATCTACCTACGAAACACACAAACACACAGACAGCTAGCTAGCTAGCTACCTATCTCCCTAGCTAGCTAGCTGTGTGTTTGTGTGTTTCGTTTAATAGGTGCTGGCGTTTGAATCGCTAAGCGTTGGGCTTCGCTATGTCCTCGTTAATATGCTGGGGGCCCCCTTTGGGGCCTCCTGGCTGCAGCTGAGGCCCCACAGTAGAGGGGGGGCCCCTCATTACATTGAACGCTGCAAGTTTGCTGCGGGGCTCTTCAAACGGCTGGAACCAGAGGTCAGTCATTCGGGGGCCCCCCCGACTTGGGGGCCCCTCGCTGTGGGGGCCCCCTGCATTGGGGGGCCCCCCTAGGTGGAGGGCCCCCGCCTCGGGGGCCCCCCAGCTGAGGGGGCCCCCAAGCCGGGGGCCCCCCGAGGTGGGGGGCCCCCTAAGGCCCCTGTGAACACGGTACCCTGCAGCCGAAATGGCTGCATGCAAGTGTCTCCTTTTAAGCGCAGAAGGAGACACTTGAACGGGCACTGAGGAGACAGGGGAGAGGAGACAGCGATAGGTTTGTAGCCGTTGCTGCTGCGTTTGTCTCTATGCAGCTCGCAGCCACCAACGAGGAGCCAGCAGCACAACTGCAGCAGCAGCAGCAGCAGCAAGGAAGCACGAAGGAGACAGCTTCGCTGCAACTCATGAGCTGTATGTACACCTGCGGGGCCCTACTTACCCCAAGGACCCCACAAGAAGCCGAGCTGATAGACAAAGAGAAGAGTCTAAGGCGATTCATTCTTATGGCATTCCCGGTAAGCTGCTGCTGCTGCTGCTGCTGCCGTTGTTGTTGTTGCTGCTGCTGCTGCTGCTGCTGCCGTTGTTGTTGCTGCTGCTGCCGTTGCTGCTGTTGCTGGTGCGGTTGTTGCTGCTGCTGCTTCTAGTTTATTGCTGCGTCTAGGGAGGCGTCTCCTCTCTAGCAAAGGGGAGAAGCTTTACTGTTGCTGCTGCTGCAGCTACTATTTGTTGCTGCTGCTGCAGACTGGCTTGCTGCTTCGACATACTGAGGGGCCTTTGTGCTATGTAGCGTGGCAGCTGCTGCTGCAGCTTCCCAGGGCCCTCTATAATGTTGCTGCTGCCTCCTCTGTCTCTGAGTGCGTTACCCCTGGCGTTGCTCTTACAAAGGAGACAGAGTCTCTAAAGGAGACAGAGGGAACTTCTCCGTCTTCACCCGTGAAGCAGCAGCTGCTGCAGCTTGTTGAGGGCTATTTGCAGGGCCGCTGGAACTGCAGTGACACGCCAGCAGGTGCTGCTGCAGCTGCTGCTGCTGCTGCAGCAGCAGATGCTGCCTTGGCCGCTGCAGCTGCAACATCTGAGGGGCCCCCCGCCGTACAGCATTCTTCCTTGGGGAGACAGCGCAGGACTAAGAGGCCCAGATCCGGTGCTGCAGCTGCAGCAGCAACGGCAACAGCAACAGCAGCAGCAGCAGAAACAGAAGCGGCAGCAGCAGCAACTGCAGGAATAGGAGAAGCAAAGCAGCCCCCACAGCAACTCTGTCGCGGGCCCCCACGAGAGCAGCAGCATGTGCTGTTTGTTGAAGTGCTGCTGCCTTTCTTGCTGCAGCAGGGGTCCCTCAGGCAGCAGTTTTTGGGGGCCCTTTGGGGTCCGCTGCTGTCTCTGATAAAGAGTCTCCGCACGTCAAGAGACGCCTCAACTAAGCCTTACTTCTCTCAAAGTAGAGACGCTTCAGCAGCAAAACGAAGCCTTAAAGGCGGAGCATCCACAACCAGAGCAGCAGAGACTGCAGCACAAACGCTGCAGCAAGAGGAGATGCAAACCAGCAGCAGCAGCAGCAACAGCAGCAGCAGCAGCAGCAGCAGCGACAGCAGCAGCAGCAGGTCACGACGACCCACCAAGGGTAGTAGGGCCCCTGCCCAGCGAGGCCGCAGCAGGAGCGGGGTCCCCTTGCTGTCTGCTGCAACGCGTCCTTCTGCAGCAGCAGCAGCAGCAGCAACAGCAGCAGCAGCAGCAGCAAAGAACGCCTTTGATCGCCTTCTAGAGGGGCCCCTGGGGGCCCCCAGGCCAGAAGGGTGGAGTCTCGCTTCCATAGCAGCAGCGCTGCAGATCGCCAGCCTCCTCAGGTGTCTCCCCGGGGGGCGTGAAGCGCTGGGCCTTCAGGAGACAGCCTATAATGAGGCCCCAGCAGCAGCAACAGCAACAGCAACAGCAGCAGCAGAATCATTAGAGACGCAGCGAGTCCAGAGACGGAAACGGCCCAGAATGCAGCAGCAGCAACAACAGCAACAACAGCAGCAGCAACAGACGCTGCTGGTGCTGTCTCCTGCGAAGCTGCTGCAGCTGGCTATTGACTCCTTCTGCAGCGCCTTCACCTCGCTGCTGCTGCAGTGGGGGCCCTTTCGTAGGCCTGGGGGGGCCCTCCAGCTGCTGCTGCAGCGCACCCCACAGGGGCCCCCTTGGCATGAGCTGCTGCCGCTCCCTCTAAGCCTCATCATAGGGACACAGAGAGAGAAGCTGCTGCTGCAGCAGCTGCAGCAGCAGCAGCAGCAGCAGCAGCATTTGTGTATGAGGGTCCTGGGCGCGCAAAGGAGTCTCCTTCGGCAGTCCCTGTCTCTGTTTCTGAGTCTGCTGCATCTTTCTTCTGCATACACCGCAGTAAACCCTAAACCCTAAACAACAACCCTGAATTACCCTAAGCCAAGCCTCTTGCTGTTGCTGCACGCTGCATATGGTGTTTGTGTGTTGTGCTGCTGTTGCTGCTGCGGCTGCTGCAGCACTCGCTGACGTCTTGGGGGCCCCTGGGGACCCTTGTGAAGGCACTGGGGTCTCCGCGTCTCCGCTGCAACCAAATTCGAGGGGCCCCCCCCGAAGCATCGGGGGGCCCCCCTCTCACGCAGCAAGAAGGGGGCCCCCAGTTAGATGACGACCTCCGCCTTAGGGTTTGGCTCGGCAGCGCGCAGTGCGCCCTCGAAATATACGGGTACTCTAAGGGTTTAGGGTTTAGGGTTTAGGGTTTAGCGTCTAGGAAGTTTTGCAAGGGTTCAAGCGACCTACTAGGGTTTGGGGCTTGCTTTACCTAGAGGTGTAGAGTTGGTGCCTTCGCTCTTCTAATGGAGTAGTGTTTTAGGGTTTAGGGTTTAGGGTGTACAAGGCTAGGGTTTACGGTTAGGGTTTAGGGTTTTGGGGGTTTGTTTGTTTCAGGGTTGTATTTGAGCACATCGCAGTCCTCTTGGGTACTGAGGCCCCTCCGACACCCGTCTTCTCATTGCCTGGGGCCCCGCGGGGGCCCCCAGGGGCCCCCCAGGGGCCCCTAAGAGCAGGAGAGGAAGCTGCATGTCCCCTCAGTGTGGT